TCTGTTCTGTTCTGTTCTGTTCTATTCTATTCTGATCTGTTCTGTTCTGTTCTGCTCTGTTCTGTTCTGTTCTGTTCTGTTCTGATCTGTTCTGTTCTGATCTGTTCTGTTCTGATCTGTTCTGATCTGTTCTGTTCTGTTCTGTTCTGTTCTGATCTGTTCTGTTCTGTTCTGATCTGTTCTGTTCTGTTCTGTTCTGTTCTGTTCTGATCTGTTCTGTTCTGTTCTGATCTGTTCTGATCTGTTCTGTTCTGATCTGTTCTGATCTGTTCTGTTCTGTTCTGATCTGTCCTGTTCTGTTCTGTTCTGTTCTGTTCTGTTCTGTTCTGTTCTGATCTGTTCTGTTCTGATCTGTTCTGTTCTGTTCTGATCTGTTTGTTCTGATCTGTTCTGTTCGGTTCTGCTCTGCTCTGTTCTGATCTGTTTTTGTCTATTCTGATCCCTTCTGTTCCATCCCGTCTTGCCCTCTCCTCTTCTATTCTTCTATTCCACTTGGATTATCTCTTGACAGCAATGTGCCTTTAAGACAGTGGTTCGCAACCCTGGCTTCAGATTAGGATTTAGTGAATATAGGATGTGCCTTTTGCCTTCTGCCATGATTGTGAGGCATCCCCAGCAATGTGGCACTGCGAGTCCATTAAACCTCTTTTTCTTTAAAATTTACCCAGTCTCAGGTATGTCTTTACTAGTAGTGTGAAATAGATGAATGCACCCAGCTTCAGTCCCCAGTGCTGACGTTGGTGCCTTCCCTGGAGGTGAACGTTGGGCTGATGGGCGATCCTGGCAGGTTCAGGCATGTGCCTCACATGTTGAAGTTGTAACTCCAGGACTTGTAAATGTGACCTTACTTGGAAAAGGAGTCTTCACGGTGTAATTACTATACTTCAGATGAAGTTATGTTGGATTAGGGGCGGCCTGAAATCCAATGACAGGTGTCTTTCTAAGAAGACCATGTGAGGATGGAGAGATACACAGAGAGAAGGCCACGAGAAGACAGGGCAGGGTTGGAGCGGTGCTGCCATAAGCCAAGGACCTGGAGCCACCAGGACCTGGAAGAGGCAAGGAAGGGTCCTCTGCTGGAGTCCTCAGATGGTGCGTGGCCCACCTGATACTGTCATTTTGAACTTTTTTTTTTTTTTTCTTTTTGAGACAAAGTCTCACTCTGTTGGCCAGGCGGAGTGAAGTGGCATGTGCTCACTGCAACCTCTGCCTCTCGGATTCAAGTGATTCTCCTATCTTAGCCTCTCTCTAGTAGCTGGAATTATAGGCGTGTACCACACGTCTGGCTAATTTTTGTATTTTTTGTAGAGACAGACTGTCACCATGCTGATCAGGCCGATCTCGAACTCCTGACCTCACGTGATCTGCCTGACTTGGCCTCCCAAAGTGTTGGCTTTACAGGTGTAGGTCACCATGCCTGGATTGATTTTGAACTTTGGACCTTCAGAATAGCGAGAGAACACATTTCTGTTGTTTTAAGCTTCATCTAATTTGTGGTGGTTTGTTAGGGAAGCTTGGAGAAGTCACTAAAGTCACTGTATCACAAGATGATTTCAAAAAGATCAGAGTGTTAATAACAGCTCACATTACCAAGTGATGGCTGTGCTGTATCTTTGTCAGTCTAATCTGTGA